CTGCGACAATACTTTCTCGCTGCCTCCGCCGCCGTCGCCGCCGTCATCACCGCCTCCGCCGCCGCCACCGCCGCCGCCGCCGCCGCCGCCGCCGCCGCCGCCGCCGCCGCCGCCACCGCCGCCGTCGGCGTCGTCGACGTCCTCGTCGTTCTTCCTGCGCGCTCTCCCACGGGGGTGAGTGCGGCGGTACGGAAGAAATATGGAAATGGCCGGGAATCAAGGAGGGGTCACGACTCCCCAGCCTCCGAATTAGAAGAATTAAGTAAAGAGCGAAACTCCCTTATAAAAGGATTTCGATGTCGGGCGTGAACGAGCGAGGCGCGTCGCGACGTTTTATTCTTCATCTTGCTCGCGCATCTTTCACCTTTGCGTGCGTAATCGATAACGTGATTTGGACGCGCAGCAATCAACAATATATGTTTTCATGTATATATATATATATATATATATATAACGCGGCGGATAATGATGTAAACGATACGGCGGCGAGTATTAATTTTCGGCCATTTTCCGAAATATCGCGTTCTCGAGGAAAAAAGATAGTCTGCAGATAGCAGGCGGATAGAGTTTGCATATCGAAATTTTCACGGACACGACGACGTATCGCGGGTGTATGCGTGCGTGTTGTGTAATTCGATTGTTATTGTAATCTCCGGTGGAGAATCGGGGCTTTTCCAACGAATTCTCCGTTTAAATGAACATCGGGATGAATTTTTTCGTCATTTTACGAGCCAAAAATGAACGTGCTAAGTGTGTTCGCGATGTTTGCGATCGCGCGACAAACGGGCGAGTGAGGTTTCAATCGGATGAATTTCGCGATACTGAAGGTATCGCGCGCGCGCAGGAATAAAAATTTATTCGTCGCTCACGGGCTCCAGAAAAATTTGTCACGGGCTGGCAAAGAACTGCTTCGTAGCGAGCGCGGTTAAAAGCGTACTTTTGTAATGCGTGATCCAGCCAAGATGGATTAGTTATTGATCGAGGCTCGCGCTCGTGCAAAGACAGCCTCTTTCGTTCCTCGCGAATAAGGAGACGCGGTCGCTGTCACTCGATAAGTCAACAAATTGATATATCATGCGCGAATATCGGTAACGCGACGTAATTGACATATCGTAGAATGGACGTCCGTAACGTATAATTGATACGCGACGGTGCGAACGACGGTTTCCAAAGTTACTGACATATTTTTATATTTACACAAATGCCGCGTACGTCTGCATACGTATGTGATTATATATACGCTTTGACGGCGCTATTGATTTTTCCGAATATCGCGAGCCGCCCACCAACGACGTCGGCTTCCAAATCGCTTGTTTCGGTCGTAACGATTACACGAGCCGATTTTACATATCAACCCATGCCGTTTTGCGCTACCTCAAACCTTGCCGCGTAGCGTTCGTTTATTTCTCCAAAGCACCGCGCGTAACGCGAAAACGCGCTGCGCGGAAGCGCGCGTCGAAAATAGAAAAACAACACGCGCACATAAGCGTGTCATTAATCGACCCGACTCGCTGGAACAACGTAACGGCGAACAGCCTCCGCGCGGCGCGGCGCGGCGCGGATTTTAATGCGTCTGGGAATGAGAGATAGCGAGAGACGAGTTCGCCATGGGAGGATCGTTCACGAGGTAATGACTTTATTCGCGATGAAATTTCGGTCTCTCGGTTCGACAGGGAAGCCGCAGGGAAACGCGACGCTGTGTTGCTGCGTGCGTGCGTGCGTGCGTGCGTCGACGCCGGCGCGGGCGTCTCGCTGCATCTTTAGCCGAGTAAGAGCTCGATAATTCCAGCGTGCCGCGCGCGCGCGCGCGTATACTCTCTCGTACGGAAAGTGGGCGAAAGATTTATGTCAATACAAACATTATAACCGTGTTTGCCGGGAGCCCCGGGGAGCCCCGCCTCGTCTCGCGATACCTACGCGGTGGAGTAGTCGCGTGCGTATGCAAAACACATGGCGAGCGCGCGTACGTGATGCAGCGGCTGCACACGTACGACGGAGATTCCCGACGTTCGCGATTCTCCGTAGCGATGAACGATGAATTCGCGCAATCCCCCGGGAGTACGCGAGACTTACTCCGCCCGCGAACAAGCCGCGGCGACACACACGACGCGGCGGAGAGGGCAACCGCGCAACTCGCGGGCGCAATTTTAACGACGGGCTTGCCGGAGTAATTTCGAGACCCGGCTTCGCTCTTAGCAACAAACACATCCAGCGGAATTGGACGGATTTATTCGTATAAACTTGCCGGCTCGCGGTCCGGCTCCGTTTTTATGCGTTGCATCCTGCCGTGTCCTGTTCTTTATTCGCATTATTCATCGCTCGTATCGGTATTCATTAAGGCGAAGCGGCCGGGCGGCGTCGCGTATTCGCGACTCGCCGGTCCTTCTCATTCGACTCGTTTGTGCCGGGATTCACGAGCGCGCCAGCGACGGCGAAGCCGCCGCTCGCTCGCGCTTCCGCCACGCCGCGGCGAGCGGCGCGCTTTTTCGACAAACCGAATCAAACCACCATGAATCACTGCGTTCGCGTTGTTTCGCTTACGCCGCGGCCGTTGCGCCGTAGATACGTGCCGGTCCGTGTATCTTTCGAATGCAAAGCCGTCCGCGGGAAAGTAAACGTGCGAATGACTGCCACAAAGCGTCACGATGAACCGCGACCACGAATCGCGAAGCGACGCCCGCGGCTTCGCTCTCTCTCTCTCTCTCTCTCTCTCTCTCTCTCTCTCTCTCTCTCTCTCTCTCTCTCTCTCTCTCTCTCTCTCTCTCTCTCTCTCTCTCTCTGAACTGCGAACTGCACATTTTCGCGGATTATTGCGAACTGCGAGCGGCGACGAGTTGCGAACTCGAACTCGAGGAAAATAGTTATTTTAGCACACACCGAAAAAATTGTATTCTTAATATAAGAAAATTTTATACTTTTTAAGCTTTCTTAACAGATATTCTTAATCTATAAGAATATTTTCTTCTTTGTATCGATGTGTCTAGAATACATACTAAAATTAAGAATATACTTTTTTAGAATAACTGCCTAGCAAGAAACAAGTCGTCGATCGATTATTAAGAAAGAAGCATACATAAAGGCATAATACACAATAAGGAAAGGAACCAATCAGAATCCTCATTTCTATCGCCACGTTTGAAATGAAAGACTGATTAGTTCATTTCCTTATGCGTTGTGCATTACGCCTTTATGCAAAAGTATGTGTGCTTTTTTTATCTCAAAAACAGCTTTCGCAGTATAATTATATGCAATAAATCAAAGGTAAATAAAAACCAACATTGAAATCGGATTGCAACTTTAAAATTGCATTAAAAAATGTAGCATTACAAGAGGATTAGTAGTGCAAGAGGTTAATTAATTAAACATTACAAATTGGGAATTAGAATCAGTTCGACGCAGCAAAGTGTATACACGGTGAATCAACTTTTCGCGTCGAGCAGACTCTGATTCCTAATTTTTAATATTAATTAACCCCCCTTAATTTTTTACGATACTACATTTTGAAATTCCATTTTGAAGTTGCGATCTGATAGCAGCGTTGGCTTTTACTTATTTTGATCTGTCGTATATGGTTGTATTAATATTTATATACATTAAGAATATCCGTTAAGATTATTTCTTAAGAATATCTAGTACATTCTTAAGAAGATTCTCCTCTTAAGTTAAGAAAATGTTCTTGGTGCCTATTTTAGAAGAGATTATCCTAAACTTAAGTGGGAAATTCTTAAAATAAGAATACCATTTTTTCAGTGCAGTGTTGTGTCAATAACGGCCCCTTTCAACCCGATATTTATCTCTTTTCCCATTGTTTCCTCTTCGAGATTTGTTCGAGCAATTATATCGCCAAATAAATTATTCTTCGTCCGTAAGACGAGAATTCCGGCCGATCTCGTCGATGTCGCGGTGGAACACGCTGCACGATATTCGCGTAACTGCAGCAGGATATCGCGATACGCGTCTACCAAATGCGAACTCTTATGTCTCTGGCAATTATGGCGAAGGTATATATGTGTCTACGCGTAGCTACGTATACTTACCGAAGAAATAATCGACGCGAAGATGGCCCACCTGGTTGGCTTGCTGGCTGGCTGGCGAATATCCCGGATATCTTTGGCCTCCTCCGCCTCCCCCTCCTGCCCGGACTCGCCGGGCCGCTAACCTCGTCGCGGAGGGAAAGCCGGGCTCTCATTACGCCAACAAAATTCTCACATTTTCCGCTAAATGTTCCCTTCGTGTTAATGAACGACTTATCTTCATATTTGCTGTCACCACGTGCGCGAGCCCGGGAGCTCGTTTAGAGAAGTTGGGTTAGCCCGCTAACTATAGCGGCCGCGGAATTAATTGAGACCTCTCCCCTAGCTCTATCTCGTTATACGAGTAAATTCTGAATTCTGGTAACTGCTCATCGGAGTCTGAAACGAGCCGGGACGAGTCGCGGGCACGGCGCGCGCGCGAGCTTCGGTCGGGCCGGGGTAGCCGGTGAGAAATAATATCTGGCAGCGTAATTGCTTTTTAAAAGCCCGCAGCCGTGCCGCGGATTTTGTTCCTCGTAATTGTTAATGACTTTTTTAATAGTGGGAAACGCTGTTTTTAAATCGGCCCGTAAAATCCGCCGCTCGCCCATGGTGATAATCTCATAACTGGATAATTCGCGCGGCTGTATACGCGCTCGAGATGCTCTAATGACTTCTCGATACGCTTCGCAGGAGGAAGAGAAGGAAGAGGAGGAGGAGGAGGAGGAGAAGGAGGCGCCTTCGCGATTGAATCGCGCCCGGGCCCCGCTTTTTATTATTTACAAGCGGTGGGATCGGAGAACGGCGCGCGCTTCCCGGCCGTAGCCGAGTCGAGCGATAAAGACGCGGTCGAATAAACTCCACGGTAAAATAGGAATTAGATATCGAGAGAGACGCGCGCGCGAAGGAGCGAAGCAGAATGGCGGGGGCGGGCGGCGGGCGATGACAACGGGTGGATGGGGCTGGGTAATGAAAGAGAACGCCCGCTACAAATCCATGAGTCCTTTATTAAGAAATACTGCATCGTTCCGACAATCGCGAAATGGTAGTACGAATATAATCTTTAAGCTATTAGAGCTTCGACGCAGCCTCCTTCTCGAGTCGTCGACTTTGCTCGGAGCGTTTCCAGGGCGGTGTTCCGGAGTTTTGACATTGGATTACGAAGTACGGCGTAAAAGTCCTCGGCATAAAACTTTAATTACATTTGAATATAGGCGCGCGCGCCGCGAGACGTACACCGATACCGACTGTTCGGGAATGCGACGCGACGCGACGCGGTCACGACTATTAAGAGGCTGAAACTTCTCGACCGCCGTTCGACCTTTTTTCTCTTTCTTTCTTTCTTTCTTTTTTTTGCTTTTTTTCTTCGCCCGGAGCCGGGCATTGTTCGGGCAAATTCTCCTTCCTCTCGTCGCGAGTGACACGAATATTACATAAATGACGAACAATTATACCATTCGAACGAGAGAGAGAGAGAGAGAGAGAGAGAGAAAGAGAGAGAGAGAGAGAAAGAACTTGTTCTCCCTTTCGTCGCTCACCTGCGATAAAAGTCTCGGTGCTCGCGTGCTCGCGAGACGAAACTCGCGGGGAGGAGCCGATTTTTCGACTTGTGCCGGGCATGCTCGCGCGACCGAATCATTCCAACGGGTAAGAACTGAATTCCGATACGGGTACATTCGCGGATAGAAGAGAGCGCGCGTGCATAGGAATAAAAATTCATTCCACGCTAACGCGCGCCCAGGCGCGTCGAATAAATTCAGTCGCGAATGGAGTTGGTCCTCGTTACGGACAAATAAATCTTCGACTTTTATTCGGTACTTTTAATTCGTTATTCGAGATAAAATTCGCCCGACCCTGGCGCCTTGCCACGACGGGAGTCGTCGCACCCCCGACCGGGTGCTCGCGGCCGCGGAACGTTCGGATCGCCGCCCCGCGCCGGGCGAGACGCTGCGTCTCGAACGGCGATTTACGCTCGAGAGCTCTCGTGAAACTTGCGAACGAAGACGAAAAGAATGGTTTCGACGCGATCTTTCGTCCTTCCCCTTCCGCTCTGCCCCTTCCTTGCTCGTATATCCTTTGTTCCCCCCTACCTCCCCCGCATCGCAGCGCAGCCGCGGAACAAGCCGCGCGCGGCTGTTCGCGGCCGCTCGGCAGCGGTCGTTCGATCGAACAAGTAAGCGGAAAAGCGAGCGGGTCGAACTTCGCCCGCATTGTTGCACTCTGGTCGCGACGCGACCAATTGATCGGAGTACGCACCGAGTATTACGGCGCACCGAGTTACTCTAATCCACCGAATTACGCCCGCATTATACGCGTGCGTGCGCGCCTCTGCGCGCGTTCCCGATTGTTACGGCGTGCGGGGCGCCGCGCGCGTAATTGTCCGGCGAACGTCATGAAGGCGAGCGTCATCGCGGCGATGTCCGCGCCAGGAGGCGCGCAGCAGCCGGAGGCCGCCGCCACCACCACCGCGGATTCTTTTTCCGGCCTCGCTTGCAAAGGCCACGCGGGGCCGAATACACACACGCAAACACACCAAAGACGACGGAACGAGCGCGACGCGCCTGAACAATCTCGGTGGCGCGACAAGGAGAAGACGGAGACACGACAGAGACATAGACAAAGTAGATGACACACGTGGGCGGCGTAAACGCCAGATATCGCTAGACTCGCGTTTTCGCCTGTTTTCATTGTTTTCTCTTTTTTCCTTTTTTTTTTTTGCTTTTCCTTTTTTTCCCTTAACTCATGGCCTTAACTCCTAGACCGCCGCTGCGCGATCCCGATCCCGGGCGAGCCCTCTTCACGGAGAAGACCCCGGACCGTCCTGGAGCCGGACCGTCGTGACTGAGCATTCTCGCTCATCCTACCGGACGTTGAGGACTTCGGCGCAGATCAGCAGGACCAGCAGCAGCTGCAGCACGAGGTAGGGACGCACGGTGGAGTGTCCCGTGGACGCCAACGCGTAAGCGTAGGAGGAGTAGCACTCCCTGCGGATGTAACACACAGGACGGCTTGTTTGAATCGATCTTCGAAGCGGAGCGGTGTAATATCGAGGCGAGAGCGCGTATCGGACGAAGCAATTTCGAATCGTAATCACGTACGGCGATTTTTCGCTTTCGAGTCTTTCGACGCTTCCGAGCGTAGCACGCGACGTATAATTACACGGAGCCGAGTCAACAATGAAGTCGGCGATCGCGACGGAAGGATACTTCAAGCTCCGGCTGGCTGAGATAACATCGTCGACGACTTTAGCGCATTCGCGCGCGCGCGCGCGCGTTGCAGTCGCTGGGATTCGAGTTTCGGTTCGCCGCCAAAATCGGAAGCTCCGTGAAACTCCCGGAAAGCTGGCTGGCGAAAAGTTTCACGAACAAACGGTCGATGAGCGACAAATGCCAGTCACTCGATATCGCGCCCTCGTTGTCCTGTCGTGTGACGCGACGACTCGCGAACGAATAAAAGACTGATTCGCGCTGAGAGAGGAAAAAAAGGATTTCTTATTCCATTAATAATATATTCTTCCGTTGTCGTTTTGTTCACGATGCATAATGCATAATTCTCTCTTCGGGCGGACGTTGGAGAAAGAGGAGAGGGAGAGGGAGAAAGAGAGAGGAAGAGAAAGAGAGAGAGAGAGAGAGAGAGAGAGAGAGAGAGAGAGAGAGAGAGAGAGGATTTGCCCTCGAAAATAGACGCGACGTACGTTCCCATTATATTTGCGAGCGTTTGTCGGCGAGGGTGTTATTACATCATTGTGCAGCGCGGACGGAATTACTTCGAAATTTTACGAAGCATTACGGCGCTAAAACTGCTCGACTGAAAATTCTCTTCGAAAATCTTCGGATTCTTCGACGGTTCTCCTCAAGACTTTGCAAGATTACACGACGCTTTCAAACTGCACGAGAGGGCTTTCACGCTGCTTAATTTACGAAGACCATCCCACTGCTTTTGGAATATTGAAAAGTGCAGTAATCTCTTTTGCCCTCTCTCTCTCTCTCTCTCTCTCTCTCTCTCTCTCTCTCTCTTTCTCTCTCTCTTCCTCTCTCTCTTCCTCTCTCTTTCTCTCTCTCTCTCTCTCTCTCTCTCTCTCTCCCTCTCTCCACGTGCCGACATTTACCCGGCAGGTTACGTGTATTACCGATTCCGCTCTGGAATATCTGACACACTCGGGACACCTCTTTCGGGATATGGAACAAGACCTTTGGTCTTGTTATTTTAGAAGGGGGCCTTTGTCCCTGTTACTTTAGCGTCCCGGATTTTCGACGCGGATCACTTTGGCGGATAAATAGCGGTATCGATTGGCGGTTTGTATATTAACGGTTGATACAAACGCGATATGTCACTCAGAAAGTCCACCTGGTCTGACGTAATATGTGATCGCGGCCGATTTTGCAGATCTCCCGTTAAATCGCAGCACAGCCGATTGAAATTGCGTGCTGGGTCGCATCGATGGCCGTCCGCATTTTTCATTCGAGTATATCAGAGCCTCTTTGAACCGACAATTACACCGAGTACCGAATGCTTGTTGTGTCAACCGTGACTTTGAAAAGCCGGAATGCGGGAATACGGGCTCTCCGTGGCAAACTCGCTTGAGCCGCCGCCGCAGTCGCCGCGTGGTCATCGAAATTTTCCAAATTTTCCGCCTCGCTGCCGTCTCTTCGTAATCGTATTGCGCCGGTCGAGGCACAACGACGCACGCGATCGCGACGCGCTTTGCTGAAGCGCTCCGAATTCAAGCGGTATCCGCTTCATGGTATACGCAGCCAATTAACGACGAACATCGAGGGTTTACCGCACTCTCCACGGATCCCAAGTTTCCCAACATGTGACTTGTTAGCGTGAGTGTTAGAGAGAGAGAGAGAGAGAGAGGGGGGGAGGGAGATGTATCCTACTTTATATAAACTTGGTTTAATTCTCTCGGTTCGACCGTATCTCGTTTTTTGCGTAAACTTTTATTTATCTCGGGCTACGCGAAACATAATTGATAAGAGTAACTTTTTTCATCAAGGAAATACGGCGTGAGAGTGAGAAAAGAAGAAAGTAGAAGAAAGAGAGAGAGAGAGAGAGAGAGAGAGAGAGAGAGAGAGAGAGAGAGAGAGCATGTCGATCGATGGCTGTCAATTTCAGCCACGACGAATCCGACTTGAATTTTATCAACTTTCATTGATGAAATTAGTTTGACCGATATTGTGCTGCGGCGCATAAACGTTGATGGCGTCCGCCGCGGACGCTCTCGTTGCGGAAAATTCCACGAGTGAAGCGTCGCATCACGTCACCCGCGCTCGCTCGTCGATTCCTAACGATCGACGTGACTCGCACGTGCGACCCGAGATATACAATCGCGTCCACGGGCGAATCATCGATACACCGATACCGGTTTATCTCCGCGCTTGCGACGAGCTTACGTCGCGAAATACTGATTTGCCGTCGGCCGTGATCAATAGCAAAATCAGCCGAGAGCCGAAACGAACTCTCCACGGGCGTCGAGGCTCGCGTTCTCTCACCCTCCCTCCCTCCCTCTCTTTCTCGCGCTTTCGCGATCCCCATCCCCACGAATCCGTGGCTGCGCATATTGTGTCTCATGGACATACCTGTAAGACTCGGGATTGAGCCTCGTTACGGTGCAGTAATGATGCAGCGCACAGACGCCGTTGAGGGGGCCGCCGCAGCCCCAGATTTGCTCCACCTCGCGCGGCAGCGAGACCGTGTTGGCCGCGTAATATCTGCGGGACAGAGAGAGCAGCACACATACACACACATACACACACACACACACACGCACGCACGCATGCATACAGCGCGCGCAGGGTGCGCGACGAGAGATAACACTAACGGCGCGGTAAGCGGCACAGCGAGGTCTACCGGTGCATTGGAAGAACAAGCGACCTGGCGACGTGGCGCGTATCGGCACTGTCATTAGCGTCGTAATGGCGCGCACGCGTCTCGGAAAGCCCGGTTGGGAGCGGACAGTTTATCGCGAATCGTCGGCCAAGTATTATCGGATAATTGTCGGCTCGCTCGCGGGGCAAGAGAGTGCCGCGGGGTGGGATTATTATTAACCCTCGGCTCTCTCGCGGGTATCGAGGTATCTCACGCGATACGCGCTGCTCGGAGCAGTCGAGTCGACATTCGCGTTGACATTGACAGCCATGCTGGCAGCTTGACTGGCAAACTTTCCGTCGACCGGCTCCGGCCGGCCGGCGATTACGTGCGCTGAAGAAGGCACCGCCGAGCCTCGATAGACGATCGCGCGACAAACACACACACACACACACACACACGTGGCTGATTTTCTCTTTACGTAACGTTAAGATCCCATACGGCCCCGCCGCTTGATCGTCCGCGATAACGGGCGAATTACGGTGTATTTAGACGAGCGTTATTTGTTCTACGTCCCCGCGCGGCAGGATCGCGGCCGATTAACTCGGAGAAAAATGTCCCGGCGACACGGACGGCCGTTGTGTGTTCGGGGCCACAATCGGGGCCGATAATTAGCGCTCGCGCGCGCGACAAACTATAACGCCACTCTGTCGGAGGCGCGCATTAAGCGCGCCGGAAACTCGTGACTGTGCGCGAATGTCGCCGGCGATTGATCCGCGTCCCCGCTCGGACCGCTCGCCCGTCTACGTACCTGACGAAGGCGTAATCGTTCGATTGCGTAAATCGATCCGCCAGGTCGTGAAGAGTGATCGCCGAGATCTCCTGCAGCTCATAATAGTCGAGCAACGAGTACTCGATCATCCAGTTCGCCTTGCCGATTGAATTTGCTTCGGGCAGATTAAGATAGTACTGCGTGTAATCCAGAATCTGCGCAGGGTGCACAACACATTATACACACACGTGGGGATATACACGCACGCACGCACGCACGCACGCACGCACGCACATATGACGTACGTAACTCGCATCCATACATTTCCGCGTATCCCTTTGAAATCGGCACGTCGCGCAAATAGACCGTTAGCGAGAACGCCGAGATATTACGACAGCGGCTGTGTGTATTTGTGTGCGTGTGTGTGCGCGCGCGCGCGCACGCGCGCATGCACGCCGTTACCATCACGTACCTGTCCGGTGTTGGTTTCGAATTTGTACAGTCGCAAGCCCGGGTTGTTGGGCCCGCCGACAGTGCTGGGCGTTACGCTGGGAGCCATCATTATCCAGGATACGGGCAGACCTGTTCGGCGTGAAGCGAGGATATCGTTTCGCGAAATAATTAATCACGCACTGTGCGCGAGTGTTAATTAAGATTAAGCCCAACGCGACAGATGATAAAGCGTCAGCAATGGCCAGCTGAGGGACGGATAGACTCGGCGGAGGGTCGATAAGAGAACGGGCCGGCGGAGGGCTCGTTGATCCGCACGTGAAAAATCGAAGCGCGAGATCATCCCGTTCTCTTTCTAACCGCGCGAGTCGCTCGAGCGAGCAACTGGGCCGGCCGAGTGAGTCTCGTTCATGAGACAATGTCTCTCGCGGAGAGGTCGAGGGTCGGGTTCATTCGAGCCCGGAGTGACGTGCGTCCGAGAAGCGAGGAACCGTGGCGGCTGGACGGCGGATAATTTGTTATCCCGTCGGAAAATTGTCATATCGAGGAAATTGCCATGAGTAGCGGCGCGTAAAGTTACATCGGCGGGAGGAGGAGTCCGCCTATATATATATATATATATATATATATATCGGTGGGTAAAATTGAAAACAAAATTACACCGCCGGCGGGATAATTAATTCGCCTCGGCTCCGTCGAGTCGAGCAAAGTCAGTGTCGCTCTCGGCGATGACGAGTAACTCATCCCGTTAAAGGCTCGTCTAAAATAGATTTTTAATTCGGACGCTGCTTCTAATTGCCAACGAGTTAAGTTTCGTCTTGGGCAAAAGTGCACTCCTCGCCCGCTGCGCCATGTTCGTCAAGTCCGAGGTGACATTATATCCGCTAATCGCGCGTACATCTGCGCTTACCTGTGTCGCTATAGATGACGCGAAACGTGTCCGAATGCCAGTGCCCGAAGAACTGTCCCCGAATAATGTCCGAGTAGAGCCGCACCACCTGCAGATACCTCGTGTTGTGCCTCTCGTTGAGCGCCGCGGCGCCGCTTTCATGGTCGTCTACTCCTGGCGGTGTGTGGCCGACTATGTACACCTGGCCGTCACAGAGTAAAATAGGAATGAGCATCGAACATCGATATTTCGGAATCCGCATGCCACTATTGGCGCGGTGCGGTGCGGTGCGGTGCGGTGCGGCGCGGCGCACGGTGTTCATCTATTTCGCTTTGATATCGATTCATGAAAACTCGATGTTTCTTCCGATACTATTCGTGTTCCTCCCACCGCGCGTAGATTAACCTTTGACCATCCAATCGACGAGGGCGCGATATTTTCCTACCGTGGCGATTCGTATCGACATAAATATATTCACGTCACGAAGAAGTCAGGAAGCAAAACGATTCTTACGACGCTTTTGTCCGGAGCTACGGTCTCGTTTGTTTCAAACGGTGTTTTTCCCCTTTTTTCAAGAGAGAGAGAGAGAGAGAGAGAGAGAGAGAGAGAGAGAGAGAGAGTGAGTAACCATCGCAGCCACGCGTTAGCATAAATATTTTCATGCACATCGCATGAAAGGTAGGATGAACATCAAACCAAGCTAGTTATGGAAAAATAAACACGAAAAAAGAAAACAAACGAAAATCGTAGAATAAAACGCTGTATTTTTAACAAGCTGTTTTCGACGATTTCGTTTAGTAACTTTGAAATTTAATCGTTACATATATGTGTGTGTGTGTGTGTATTTGTGTATATATGTGTGTATAGATATATATATATATATATATATATATACATATATTTGATTAAATTTGATTAAATTTCAGAGTTACTAAACGAAATTGTCGAGAACAGTTTATATCCTTTTTCCTGCGATATTTCATATTTTGATCTCTAATTGAACCATTAATAGCAATATTATTGTGTGCTGTTTACAGTATGTGAATTTAAATACAACGTCCATTGTATGCGAGTAGAACACTGGGCTGAATAGAAAAATCTTATACCATTTTTCACACTTGTTAATTATCGTCGAACAATGATGAGTATCGGCTGGCATCGAGATGCGCGCGCGCGTAATTGTAAAGTGGATTGTAAAAGAATAGAGAACTTGTTAAGTTTAACAAACACTAAAACTTTCTATTGATGATAGTCTTTTTGTTAATTCTGCAAGACGGGTTAATAATTCAAGGTTCATCGATCAAAATGATCTTCAGACACATATCGAAGTCGGAGTAAAATTTCTATTCTTAGAAAGTTTTCTTCTTCCATCAAATTATTATCCTTTATATTCGTCCGAAAAAAATGAAACATAAAACTGACGCTCGGCGCGCGACAAACCGAAGCAAAAGTTTCCCTGCTTTCCCCATTTGCCTTCGATGTCTTTCGCATTTATATCGTAATGCTAATTGATCCTTGTTCCACAGGTAAATCACTGCGCATTCACCGGGAGCGTTGTAATTTCCTTTTTCCAACAGTTTTTCTTTCAAGTCGCTACGTCGTCTGGAAGTGGAGTTATCGATCCGCGCGCTCTCGATCGGCCGCCGCCGCGTGCAGTAGGTAAGTCAGGCCTGCGGCGCGGCGCGTGAGCGTAAAACAATGGCCGCATTCTTCCGCATTATTTTCGCGGGAACGCGTGACGTGACGGCACGCTGTGCACATTATAGCGTGCAGCGCGCGCGGCCTTGCCCCCACTCCACGGCCCAGGCGAGCAAGGACGCACCGATGAGCAGCCTCACCGCGGCCGGCGCGGGCGGTCGTTCACTCCGGACAAGGACAGAGACTTTAGACGAGAACAGAGCGAAAACAAACATGGACACGCCGCGATGCGATAGCAAGTGTTTACATACACTGGCGCTGCTGGTCTCAGCCAACCGCTCAGCCGCCGCGCCATCGCGCGATGCGCTGCTTTAACTGCCGGCCGCTCAAAAATAACCGGCTCGTGATTTCTTGCCAAGATTACACGTCAACGATGTGTATTTTGCAAGACGTTGCACAAAACTGCAAGAAAAATAAATAAACATGCCTCGCGTAACATATTCTCTGAAAAACTCGCCATTTCGGTCGTCCCGAGTTCGAGCAAAGTCGCGCTAATCGTCGGTAGTTCCGCTGTCGGACAGCTGTAACTCGCCGAGATGAGCCGACATGGAGACGTGAAATAAAGAGCTCTCTTCTTGGCACATGTTCCTGCACGCGTCGCGCGCCACCCTTTTGTCGCCAATTTGGGAGAGTTGAGCGTACTGGTTGACTGAAGGATGCCAAGCAGGCGCTCTCTCATCTCGGCGACACGCGGTCTCTGTCAGCCGCGATAGGATCCTCTAGATTTCTTTCTCCGTCTCGCGTCTGCAGCGAGATCAATATTCTCACTTGCGAGTTGAAGTGACGGAAAAAATCGTCGAGACGTCTATTTTTATGAAAATAACATCGTTACGCACAGCGTGAGACGACGGTAACGCGGTTGATTACTGATGTTTAATTTTCCCGCGTGTTTCTCCCCTTCTCTCTCTCTCTCTCTTTCTCTCTCTCTCTCTCTCTCTCTCTCTCTCTCTCTCTCTCAATGACGCGAGCACCGATCGCCGAAGCGGCACCAGCAACGTCTTACCTACTTTTACGTAACAGCGCCATCAGGAATCTCTTCGATCCGACGTATGTAAATTTCCCGGCGCTTTTAGGTGTCGTCTCGTGTCCCAAATAGCGATGCATCTTTCCGGATGCGCCGCGTCGCGCCGCGCCGCACCGGAGAGAGACGTAGAAACACACGCGCTACCTTTTCCATCGTAAGTTATCGGGCGCATAAAGACGGCCGAGATGTTGCTTCGCGTCCCGAGTACAGCCGCCGGCGGTCCACACTTTTATGGTTGAAGAGTGCAGGGTAAGTTTGCACTGCTTTGATCGTAAAACCGAGCCGCTTCGCGCGATCGATATTCGCGCGCGCAGATTGAAACGAAACGATCCGTCAGAGTCAGTCACACCGACCGCGTTCTCCCGCTTCGTGTGACCGCATCTTTACGGAGCTCCTACGTACGAGACAGGCAGCAGCCACCACCTTAGGCGCTCTTCTCCTTTCGAGCACTGCCGTACTATTGTGATCACAAAATATTCGAACTTTATTTGTTAAAAATCGCGGATAAATTGTAAATCAAATTCGTTTGCTTTCTCAAATTGGTACACATGTCCTTCACATTTGATGAAAAAATTATGGCGTTCTCCTTCAAGCCGTTTGAAAGTGGCGGTTGTTTATGTCAGTGAAGATTGTTGTGCACGGCGATGTTTACGATGTCGAAAAATATGGAGCAAAGAATTTGTTTGAAATTTTGTGATGCGAACGAAATTTCGTTCACAAACGCATTCAAAATGTTGCGAAAAGCTGATGGCGATGACTGTTTATCGAGAACAAGTACGTTTGAGTGGTTTGAAAAGTTTCAAGAAGGACGAGAATCCATTGAAGACGATCCACGCTCTGGAAGACCATCAACGTCAACGGATGCGTCAACGGATGACGCTCACATTGAGAAAGTGAAAGAATTGGTGCTCTAAAATCGTCGACTGACTGTGCGAGAAATAGCAGATGAAGTTGGAATATCATTTGAATCCCGTGCCAGCACACAATTCGTAAGAAACGACCGGAATTGTGGGAAAACAACTCGTGGATTTTGCATCACGACGACGCACCATCGCGCACCTCGACACTTGTGCGTGAATTTCTGACAAAAAACTCAACGAATGTCGCTCCGCAAGTACCGTATTCACCAGACATGTCCCCCTGCGACTTTTTCCTGTTCTCCCTACTGAAAAAACCACTTGGCGGACAGCGTTTCGAATCGACTGAGGACATCGAAGGAAAATCGCTGCGGGAATTAAAGGCCATACCGTCTGCCACGTATGAGCGATATTCCCAGGACTGGATCAAACGCTGGCATATGTGCGTTGCAAGCAATGACTACTTTGAAGGAGACCATAAGAATTTTGATGATTGAATTGTAATTTTGATTTTTAAAAATTAAGTTCGGACTTTTTTTTGATCACAGTAGTATTTATCTTCCCGGTCGTTTCTCCCACGCGCGCTTTGCGTTGTCTTACTTTTATCGTGTCAATTCGGTCGAGGAACCGATATTCAATCCGCCAATCGGGCCATTGACAATTCATTCGACCAAATTATCAGTTTGTACGAAAGAGCCGAGCATCTTTTTCCCTCTCTGACTGATTTCAGAGCATATCTCGCGGTGTGAATGATGGTGTTTAAAGAAGTACAATTGTCGTACTGCTGCGGCTTGAAAATGAAGGCTCTAATGAGTTTTCCCGGCGAGAGTATCACGCTTCTCCGCTTCCGCAAAGGAAAGAATGCAGAAACGCAAAAGGATATGCGCTTTGTGCGGAGGAGGTGCGCCGTGAGCGAACGCATGTGACAGAAGTGCTTTTCGAAATTTCGTGCAGGAGAGCGGTGGACGTCCAGCGGATAATCGCTCTAATCGATTCCGGTCGACAAATTACAGTTCGGGACACGGCGGCCAAGTTGAACATTGGTCAATCAACCGTTTCGAGACACTTAAATCAAATTGGACTGATATAAAGTTCGATGTTTGGACACCGCGCCATTTGACGGAACGAAATTTCATGGATCGCGCGTCCATTTGCGATTCATTTTGCCGGCGCGATCCAGAAGCGAAGCGTTTTTTCAACAAATAATGACGGCGGACGAGAAGTGAATTCTTTGCAATAACAAAAATGGTCCAAAACGACCAACCGAGTGGAGCAAACGAGGTGAACCTAACCTCCATTTCTGAGTCTGGTTTGCGTTTCCGAAAAGAGTCATGCATCTTTCGCCGTCTGGCGGGACTCGAAGGCAATTGTGTATTATGAGCCGCTGCCCAACAACCCAACTATTAATTCGACCGCGAGTGCCGCGCCCGACTGGTGGCAGAAATTGCTCCGAGTCGACGAGATCGGAAAGGTGTCGTCTTGCAGCACGATGATGCACATCATCTCACGTACCAGAGCCGACAAAAATTGCTAGAGTTTGGATGGGACCGATTATCATCATCTGCTTCGCTCATTACAAAACTCCCTTGAAACTGCAAAGTACGCTTCTTCAAGAGACGTGAA